GTTGGAAGCTTCTCTTGTATGTGGTGCTCAACGCCATCATTGCTCCTACAACTTTTATTGATTAATGATTTCACAACGCTGGATTCAATTCTAGCACAAATATTTTCTCCAAAATCATTTTTGTCCAAAACATATTTCTTTCAGGTCTTAACTTGTTTTCCTTCACCAGAAATTTTTCTTATTAACTTATTTAACACACTCAAAATAGAGTTAGAGGTAAAATAAACATAAAATAATTCAAAAACATACTAAACTTGAAGAATAAACAAGATAAAAGCTAGGGAGAATTGATTTTATTCACTAAAACAACAAAGTACAACACATAAAAATTAACATTATCGATGGACCCCTTCAAGAGGAGGTTTACGTGCAACAACCAAGTAGTTTTGAGCATAGAAATGAAAAGTGTTAAGAAAAGAACTTTAAGCCTAATTCAACCCTATAAAACTGGCTTGTAAAAGTAGAGTTTGGACTTACATATATATTTCTCTAAATTGGTCTTATCTCTAGTTAATGTGGGACTTACAACACCCCTTCGTGTTAAAGTATATACATTTCATGTGTGAGACCATAATTAATAAATGATCTAATAGTGGTTCGATAACGGGTGAAATAATATATCCAACAAACAATAAATTTTTTTAGGATAAGCTCTAGAGCAGACTCTGATACCATGTTAAGAAATAAACTTAAAACGTAATTTAATCCTATAAAATCGATTTGTAGCTATATATATACTCTTTTAAATTGGTTTTGTTTTTAGTTGATATGAAACTTTTAACAAAAAGGATAAGGTGTATAGGCTGAAAAAGGCCTTATATGGACTCAAGCAAGCACCAAAGACATGGAACAAGTGTATTGATGGTTTCCTTGCAAAATTTGGCTTTTGTCAAATGCATATCTGAACACGGGTTTTATGTAAAAACCTGGAAGAACAACAATGAGAAGATTATCACATGATGTATGTTGATGATCTTCAGTAACTGGGAGCAACGAAGATTTAATAGCCTGCTGTAAACGTGATCTTCTCAAGTAGTTTGAGATGAGTGACTTGGGAAACCTGAGTTACTTTCTTGGAATTGAGTTGAAGAGACTTCATGTGGGACAGTTTTACACCAGACGAAGTATGCAAAGGATTTGCTGAGGAAGTTTGGAATGCAGCAAAGGAATGCTGCCAACACTCCTGTTGAAACAGGGCTAAAGCTAGAGAAAAATCCTGACGAAGAGGGTGTTGATCCTCTAGTATAAAAGCTGTAATATTTTACAACAGATCCTACTCAGTACAGAGGCATCGTAGGAAGCTTAAGGTATCTCTGTAACACTAGACTAAATTTGAGTTTTAGTGTTGGACTTGTGAATAAATACATGCAAGAACCAAAAGCCTCACACCTTGCAGTAAAACGTATTCTGAGGTACCTACATGGACCTAAAAGCTTGCTATCTTGATGTCAAAAGGAATTGATGATATGTGAAATTCTGACTGTGCAGCATATTCTTTCTTCCTATTGTTCTTTCTCTGTCAAAGGTTTGTGACCAATGTACTGTTACATTGGTTTTTAACAATATTTTCAATTTTTTTTTCAAGATTGAACTGTTTTAATAAATTGAAAAAAGAAATTGTACCAAATGGTGGTGAAAAACATGATGAGCATCGAAACTTATTTCTTAAATTTCTATTGATATCACATTTTGTTGTACATTTCATATAATTTATTTCCTTTAGTAAAATTTTCTATTAAACTGTTAAATTTTTGCCTATCACAAATAATATTTAAACTTACATCTTTGGCATGACATGACATGAAAGGAAAAATATTGTTTCTTTTAAGAAAGTCATATTGCAGGGAATGGGCTAAGCCTTGGAACAGGAACACAGATTAAGGGGTGAGCCCTTGGAAGAGTGAGACCTGGCTTTTCTTCCATGTCCACCTTGCCATCTCCACCATTAACCTTCAATTGGAAACACTGAATGAGTGCAGCAAGATTCACATGCAGAACATGTAATGCCAGAGAAATAGCAGGGCACCTTCTTCTTCCAGTTCCAAAAGGAAGAAGATGATAACTTTGTCCCCTAACATCAAATTTACTATGCACATTTCCATCTTCATCAATAAACCTCTCTGGCATGAACTCAAGAGGGTTTTTCCACTGATTGGGGTCTCTGCCAATAGCCCAAATGTTGATAAATAATCGAGTTTTGGCTGGAATATTATATCCACACACCACTTCACTTGTTGATGACTCTCTAATAAGTAATGGACCAGGTGGGTGAAGCCTGAATGTTTCTTTAACAACGGCTTGCAGGTAAGGAAGGTTCTTAATGTCTGATTCTTCTACGATTCTACTCTTTCCAACAACTGCATCTATTTCTAGCCTTGCCTTCTCCAACACATGTGGATGGTTTATTAACTCTGACAGAGCCCATTCAATGGTTAGTGATGTCGTGTCAGTCCCAGCAACAAATATGTCCTGAATATTGTCATTAGTAACACACATGTTAGTTTGCACGAAAGGAAATCAAGAATGAAAGGAATTCCTACTCTTAAATAATAATCCTATTACGTGATATGTACAGTGGTAATCTACGTATTAAACTATATCTATAACCTGAGTCAGAAAGGTGACGGGGCTAATGAGAGAAAATGACCAAGACAGAGAGGATATATATATAACATTTCTGATATCCAAAGAATCGTTGATATATCAAGTCATATGATATTCTGAGACTGTCAAACAAAAATAACAAGGTATTCGTGCACAAATATAACTTCTCTTTAAGCATGAAAAAACTGCATATACTTCCTTTATCGACTTACCAGGATGAAGGCCTTAATATTCTCTTTGTTTAGTTTTATTTCAGAACTCTCATCTTCGAAGATGTCCAACAAAACATCAAGCATATCCTTAAACGGACGTGTTCCATCGGTTTGTTTGTTGCTCCTTCTTTCCTCTTCACGCTGCTTTATGATTCTGTCTAACACAGCATCAAACCTGTCCCGAGTTTGCTTGAGCCTCATGTTGAATCCCTGCAAATCGAGACGCTTCAAGAACCAAAGGAAGTCCGATATGTTGAACTTCCCCACAAGCTCTGCGGCATCCGCCACCAGCTTTCTCATCTCTTCAACGTCCTTCTCGTTTTCAGTACTCGTGTGACCCACAGTCATTCTCGACACGATGTTATTCGAGAGTGTCATCAACTCTCCTCCAAAATCCACGGCCTCACCAGCCACCCCTTTTCGGAGCAGGTGTTGGATGAATCTCTTGCTCTCTTGCTGCCTCACGGGAAGGAGCTGGTCTAACATGTGGCCACCGAGAAGTTCAGACATGCACAGTTTCCTCATGAACCTCCAATAGGGTCCGTCAGGTGCGAAGAAAAAGTCTTGGAAGCCGTAGGTTAAGGCCTCAATGGCGACGGTTTGAGTAATGCGGTTGGAGAAGGTGGATTCGTGAGTTTTGAGGAAGTCTTTGGCGGCTTCTGCGGTTGAAGCCACCACACAAGGGACTGAACCGAGGAAAAGGTGCATGATGGGTCCATAACGGATTGAGAGCTTGTGAAAATCTCGGTGAGGTATTGTGGAGAGAAGGTGGAGGTGACCAATGATGGGGAGGGCCATTGGACTTGGTGGAAGGAGGGTCTTCTTTTGTTTTCTCCATAGTATGAGTGCAATGACGATGGTGGAGATCAAACAAAGGAGTGACAGTTGAAATTCCATACCTTGAGTATCGAGTCTTCTTCTTTATTTATTGTGAGGTAGCATATTGTGAAAAACCAAGAGTCATATTAAATAGTAATGGACATCCTCGGAATCTAAACCATTCATCTAAAACTTCAGATCTTTGCACGGGCTTGATTTTTTTGGGCAAGTGAGGAATTTGGCAAATAGACTTAGGAGTATAGGAGATAGATTCTTATGAAGTTAACTAATATGGAAAAATGTATAGCATTAACGACAGATAAATTGAGAGAAACTAGGTTCATTGAACTGAGAACCGCCATAACGGTCAGAAATGAGGCTAAAGCAAGTTGCTGCGAGTATGGTCTAATTTGGAATATTGCGTAACTATTTAATTTTATTTAATTTGAGAACTAACTTTTGATGAATATACTTTAAAATCACTTTTGCTTGGCTAGCATGTCTCATCTGGCATATTCATTTTAAATTCATTTTAAAGGAGACAAATATCTTTATGGCTTCAATTTTTCATTTTCACTTTTGACTTAAAACCACATTAAAATCATTCCGTTTCACCGACGAAGCGGTTTGTGATTAATTTGGATGACAGAAGTCGGTCTCATCGTAATAAATTCCCTTAGAAACAAGGAGAATAGTTAAATCCTAGTTCTTGTAAGTGTTTCTTTAATTGACGTGTCTTTTCAGGAAAGATCTATATTGGAAGATACCAAATCAACACGACACGAATCCAATTCTTACAAAGGATTGATATCACTTCAACTCAAATGCCTAAGAAAATGAATTTATGTGTCTTCAATATGAATTTAGTCGATATAAAAAATAAAAGTACAGTTGAATTCCAGACCCTTCAATACATAACAAAGGTTTGTATAATAGGAACGAAATCTTAGTTCTAATTGAATAACAACGTAAACCTTTTCATTTTGAAAAGCATAGACGAGCTATGTGAAATTTATGGTGATGAGTATCACAGGGGAGGAAAAGGATTAAGCCTAGGCACGGGAACACAAAGCAATGGACGAGCCCTTGAAAGAGTTAACCCAGGTTTCTCTTCCATGTCAACAGTCTTATTTTCTCCTTTAACCTTCCATTCAAAGCACTGAATCATAGCAGCAAGGTTGGTCTGTACAACCTGCAAAGCCAGTGAGGTTCCAGGACAACCTCTTCTTCCACTCCCAAACGGAATCAGATGAAAATATTGTCCCCTCACATCTAACGGGCTCTTACCACTTCCCTCTTCGCTAAGAAACCTCTCTGGTCTAAACTCAAGTGGGTTCTCCCAGTGGTTGGGATCCCTACCAATAGCCCACACATTAACAAACAACTGAGTCTTTGGTGGAATCTCATAGCCCCATATATTGCAGTTTTCAGACGATTCTCTAACAATTAATGGACCTGTGGGGTGAATCCTCAGCGTTTCTTTGACTATAGCTTGTAGGTAAGAAAGGTTGACAAGGTCTGATTCTTCTACTAATCTACCACTTCCAATCACACCTTCAATCTCTTGCCTTGCTCTCTCCATCACATCTGGATGGTTGATCAACTCAGCCAGAGCCCATACGATTGTCAAGGCTGCAGTGTCTGTTCCTGCCATAAATACGTCCTGCAAAATTTATACAACTACATCATCAGTTTTCTCATGTTCCACAAATTTTTGATCCAACAGAAAGATTTCTTGAAATTGAAGTCGACGAAATTTTAGCCACAGAAAGTGGACTTACCAAGATGAAGGCCTTTATGTTCTCTTTTGTCAATTTTATGTCAGAGTTCTCATCTTCATGTATGTCCAATTACACATTAAGTAGATCCTTGATTTGATCATCATCTCTTCCTCTTCCCACTTCCCTTCTCTTCTTTCTTTCCTCTTGATGCTCCTTGATCACCCTCTCCATCATGGTGTCAAACCTGTCCCGAATTTCCTTCAGTCTCTTCCCGAACCCCTGCACGTCCCAGTTCTTAAAGAACCAAACGAAATCCGACACATTAAACTTCCCCGTGAGAAGAACAGTGTCTTGCACCAACTTCCTCACCTCTTCGGCTTCACTGTCATCTTCGGAACATGTTTGGCTCATAATCATCCTCGACACAACGTTATTCGAGAGTCTTAGAAGTTCGCCCCCAACATCAACAGCCTCACCCGCCTTCCCTTTCTTGAGCATAAGCCTCAGAAACCTTATCGTCTCTTGTCTCCTCACAGGAAGTAGCTGAGTTAACGTGGAACCCCCCAGAAGTTCAGACATGCATATTTTCTTCATGAACTTCCAATAAGGTCCATATGGCGCAAAGGAGAAGTCCTGGGAGCCGTATGTCAGAAAATCAACTGCAGAACTTTGCGGGCGGTTGGAGAAACGGGTTTCGTGAGTTTTTAGGAATTCTCTGGCAGCTTCTGGCGTGGAAGCGACGACACAAGGGACGGAGCCAAGGAAAAGGTGCATTATGGGACCATAGCGAGTAGAGAGCTTGTGAAGAGCCTGGTGAGGTATTGGAGCCAGAAGGTGGAGATGTCCAATGATGGGTAAGGCTCGTGGACTTGGTGGTCTATTATTAGTCTTGTTTTGTTTTCTGCTGAGTATGGCTCGAACCACGAATGTGGAGACTAAAAATGTGATGAAAAGAAGGATGTAGTCTTGGTAATCAGCCATGTTTGATTTGAATGTTTCGCAGGTAAGTGAAATATACTAGTTAGCAACGTATATAAGGAAAATATGATGCTTAATTTGTAGTTTATGTTTGCTGCTGTTATCTGTTTTCGAAATGGACATTTATATGTCGCTGGCCGGCATCGTGTCAGTTCTCAGACAAAGACATCGTGAATTTGTGACCAAGTCCAGCCTCAAATAAAAATGTCACCTGGTGGGTTGTCTTTGTCTGCAAAGAAAGTTCCTTTCTTCGAGACATCGTTGCTTTCCATTTATATTTCAACATATACTGCAGCTGACGTACTTTTTAAAAGTGACTGATATAGTTTTAACTTTCTGAGAATTCTGTATGCTTTCATTTTCTTGCACCTATCTTTTATCAGCTTAGCTTGAAACTGAATACTATGATGCTTGACAGATTTATTAACAGTGTCCGTCCTGTCATCTGAATCAGACACTTTTGCAGTGATTATTTTCTACTTTCGCGAACCTTGTGAATAGTACAGAATTATGACGAGCTCATCAAAATTAAATCCTACGAAGAATATTTCGTATTGGTTTAATCTGCTATGGCTGACATTTTATTTGCGTGTATTATAAGTTGGATTGCATCACACGAAAGTAGAACATGGATAATTAAAACAATTTTTTTTCCATTAGTTCTCTTTAGTTTTTAATTCATTGAATACTATAATATTTAACAATTATTCTCTTGGTTTATTCC